CATCTGCACTTCTCAGGAGGTAGCGGTTCATAAGAGTCTTATATACAAGTATAATTTTGTATGTGTACATCTCGTAAACCATATATATGTACATATGAATGTGACACTATACGATTGACTGATACCTTGAAATTCTTAATGAAAGTAGAGAAATTAGAGGTATAGGATCCTAGTCGTTTTCTATTTGGAGAGGTCATTTAATGAAGAGGGCCATGCACTCTGACCTGGCCATCCATCCTGGAAACCTCCCACAAAGGAAGAACCCAGGGGGTCTGGACTGAGTGTGGGGAGGAGGAGTTTCACTCTGGAGTAGGAGCAAGTAGTGAGGGTGGGGGAGGGGCAGGGTAAAGGCTGCTGATGTGTTGAAAGTAGGAGTCAAGGTAGGACAAGTAAAGTGGCCTCTTTCTCGAGAGGGTGGATAGGAGGCTAAAGAAGCCAGAGGGAGGGAAGGAGCTGTGGGTTGGGGCCGGTAGAAAGGGGGCTCATTTGCAGGATCAAGAGTAGTCAAGGATTCTTCTGGTTGAGTCTGCATGGTTGGAAGGGGCTGAGTGGGGGAACAGGAAAAACAGAGGGAGGGTTTGGAGTGGAGAAGAGAGAGCTTGAACGTAGGGAACCTCCTTCCATTTACTCGAGTGCTGGCAGTAATTATAAAGGTCCCATATAATACTGGGATCCACTGGGCAGCCATTTGAATCCCTTATCTAAGAATATTGGGGCCAAGTTTGGCATGTAAGCTAAGAAGCCCTTAAGGCAGGCACTAGCTGTAGGGATGTGAAGTTCTGCAGAAGGCATCTCAGTGAGGAGCTCTGAGGAATGTACGAAGATGCCGCTCCCACAAGTGAGGAGAGCAGTCATAGACTTGGGCCTACGGCTTCCCAAAGACACAGGAACAACTAGAAGGGGTCAGTACAGGCTGTCCCAGAAGGTAATCATGAGCTGGGCAGGGCCTGAGGGTAAATGGCCCTAACAGACAGGGCTCACCCAGTACTAGAGTTTGGAATGTGAGAGGAGTCCATGCTTGTAGGAGAGAGAATCTCATTCTCTGGATGAAGGTCTGGGAGAACAGCCAGCCATAGCACAGTCATAAAGATTGTGGCCAGCGTTCCTCCACTTCAAAGGGTACCAGAGGGGTGCTGGATGATGAATGGTCAGACCTTGCATCCAGGGAAGCTTTTACACTGATCAGGGAGGGAGGGGAGTCTCAGCAGTCAGCAGGTGTTGGAGGAGGCAGGCCTGGAATAGAGTCCTGGGTGGCTACAACCCACGATGGGGGAGCACAAGTGCCAGAAGAGCCTTGGAGTCATGGCACCAAATGGTGGCCTTTATGTGGCAGAACTATGCAACAGGGTCCAGAAAGTCACACCATATGACAGGTCCCACAAGGGAGGTTTATTAAGGGAGGGGACACAGGGGTTGCTTTAGCATGATGGTTGATGGGAGAGAGTGGGAACAGTCCTTTAATAAGGTGATGCAGCGCATGCGCAGGGTCAGGACGAACAGCTTGTGGGCACTATACGAAGTTTGTCGCATCTTGATGGATTGCGATGACGTGCTTTGTTGTCACCACGTCCCTGGAGCTGGCCGTGGAAGTGCCTGATTGCTAACAGCAGTTTGGGATGATCTCTGGAGGAAGCAAAGGCAGAGCTGAAAATGGAAGCACGGAAAGGTCTACAAAACAGCATCCGTTGAGGAAAATCCTAATGCTTCAACCAGCCCAGGAACAGGAGCTCATAACACACTGAGTCTGGACTGCACCTTTGGCCAGAACCAATGTGCTGCAGAGTCGAGACGCTGGGAAAGAGTAGTGAAGAGCAAGCCAGCTAAGGCCAGGTTCCTATCCTGTGCTGTGTTCCACAGCAGAGCAGAGTATTGCTAAAGCGTGGTCACTGATTCCAGACTGTGGGTGCTTTTCCTGCCTTACCTTGGACCTGGATCGTGGCCTCAGGAAAACCCCACAATTCAGCTTCTATCCAGGGCACATGCCAGCAGACCCCTCACAGCAAAATCCTGCAGGCTTTGTAATGTCCCAGAGTCTGGTGGGAAAGGGTTGTTTTAGGAAGGGCTAAAGGATAAAATCTAGCTACAAGAGAATGATCATCCCCTGTCATCTAGTGCTGGGATTGGTCTTTAACCACTTGTGGCAAGTCTGTTAATAGATTTTGTCTCACAGCCCTGGGTGCACATAAAATCTGAAAGATGAATGCTTTTAACTCTACATGTCCAGTTCAGAGCCTTCAGAAAAAAGATTAACCAGGCTCCTCAGGTTCAGCACTCTCAGGTTGAGCGCTTCAACTGTTCAGCAAGCGCTAGAGCACCAGACATGTGAACACATTGCTGCTGGCACACATCAAGATGGGAAATACATTGTTAACAGTGTGCTGTGTGTCTCTTGAACCCTAAAGATTCTCCTAATGATTCAGCCCATAAATGACACTTAGGGAAATACATTTTAACAGTGTACTGTGTGTCTCTTAAACCCTGAAGTTTCTCGTGATGATTCAGCCCATAAATGACACTTTACATAGGAACAAGGGCTATTCTTGCAAGCTGTTTGCAAATGCTAACACTCCATCCAGAGAGGTGGTGGTGATGGGGGGTGTCTACCCAACAAGGCAGGTGGCCAGCTAAAAGCCACAGGGTAATTGCTAGAAGCCAGGAAAGAGGATCCAATTTGGTTCAGTGCCAACTGGCATAAGACCAAGAAATGGAGCAAAGCTTGGAGACAAGATAACATGACAGTGGGTGGGGGCTGGGGAGCATAGGAACAAAAGGCAACAGTGTGACATTTTCTGAATACATCTTATCTGTATGGTTTTAACTTGAGCTTCATGAATGTTTACTTATGACAACAGAATACTAAAATCATGCAAGGACAATGGTAAAAGCTCAAGGATGTCCACAGAGAGTGGATAACCAGCTAGATTGGGTTCTCCAGGGAGACTGGGAAAGGTTAAAGAACACCATAGTAATCTGTGACTCTGGAGAGCAGGTGTGGGGAAGAGCGCAGAATTCACAGGAAATGGAGGCCTTCTGCATCAGATCCCCCATTGGGTCCTCACCTGATAAACTCAGAAGAGCCTGGGTCAGAAGAGGAGGCAGCGGGTCAGTGCCTTCCCGTTCGGCCAATACAAGTGGCCTACCTTCCTGTTGGACATGCTCATCTGCCAGCATAGGCAGCAGCAAAGCCAGCTCAGGCCTATGGGAGGAGGAGACAAGCTCTCGGGTTAGATGTAGAAACACACAGCATGCTGCGCTGAGAGAGCACGTGACTGCCCCTTTGGAGGAATCCCTGTCTCAGTGCTTCACATCCCGGAGGATATAGCGATCCGCAAAGGCCAACTCGCAGACATGGCCTTTCTTTACATGTGTCTCAACGGCTAGAACTCCAGGATGTCCAAGAGAGGCTCTTTCTCCTCTGCCCTCCTTCCAAGTGTCAGCTCAACAACTGGGCCGAGCAGAATTGAGAGATGGATTAAGTCCCCTGGGCAGGATGGAGGTGAGCCCTAGGCCAGGACAGCAAAGAGTGAGGCATGGGTCAGCTGCTGAATGCAGTGGGTGGAGTTGTTGCCTGGGCTCGTGCCAAAATGCCAAGGACATGATGCCGGAAGCTGTGTAGATTGACAAGGGAGGGCCATCTTCAGATTACATTCCCTAGATCTGACTCCAGAAGGAAAGTGTAAGGAGAAGAATGCCTACAAGGCTGCAAGCAGAGCCTGCCATGAAAGCCCTAGCTGTGCAGAGAAAGTAGACTCACTCGAGAGCTCTGTCAGGACACTGGACATGGTAACTGTCTGGATGTGTTGCACAAAGGCAATGAGGGGTGAAAGTTGACTCATGCCCAGACTGTGTGCCAAGGTGATGGCAGTGAGAATGACTAATATGGGTCTGTCCGATGCGGAGCCTGCTTAAATAAGAAAGTCAGGAGGGAGGAGAAATCCTGGGTCAGGGGCATGTCCAGCAGGGCTTCAAAACTGGCTCTTCCCTGTGAGGCTTGACTGGCTGGTGCCTGGCCCAGGCTACAGCGCCTACTCTGCCTTGTTCTCCTCCTTCTCACAAGGGCGCAGTGTATCTTAACCCCGTCTCCAGCACAGGCACGAGCACGGTGCCCAGAACACACTAATGTCCTGTCCTTCCGCACACTGACAGTAAAGCAGCATTGGGTTGTGGTGCTTCCTATCTCACCAGACCCACAGCACTGATCTGAGAGGGGGAGGTTCCTGCTGGTCACTAGCTTTAGGATTTGGTGAGACTGAAGCCTCCACTACAGATCCTGAGACAGAAAACCGCTTGAGGAACTTTCCTTTCACATAGTAGAGATCTTTACCTGTGCTGCCTCTTGCGGACAGAACTCCAGGGCCTCAGCCCTGCCAGGCATGAGCTCCACCATCATCTCTCTCCTCTCAAGCCTATTCAGAACCCACTGTGTTAGCATCAGAAGCTAAGGTGAGCTAGGCTGACCGTCCTACCTGCATGTAAACGTTGAAGTCCATGGTGACCTTCAGTTCTGTCGGTCAGAGACGACTGTGGAAAGACCATTTGAAGGGCAATCTCATTTCTGCTTTGGATTGCACATGAAGCTCTAGGTGGCTCCTATCATCCAGCAGTCCTTCTGACAGTAACACCCTGACCTGTCCTTTGGGAGTTAAGACTCTGGGGATTTTTAATGTTCCCTAGAATACAGAACTGCAACAGTCAGGGTGGTACACTTTGACCTGCTTCCTGTGGGCTTACTCTTTACCTGCTCTTCATCACCTCAGAGGAGGTTGTCAGTCAATTACAGCAGCTGAAGATCCCACTGAGAGGGAGAGAGATTTCCAGAGCCTCTGGGGTCTGGCTCAGACCTTCTGATAGAACCCAGAGCCTGAATGTCCGTCATTTGACACTTGCGCCAAACCTCCTGACTGTGCAGGGCACAGGAGCAGGCACGATCTATGGAGAGATGTGGCATAGTTAATGGTGAAGGCAGCTAAGGAAGCCCGAAGACCCATCGTGGGTAAAGACCCTGATCCAAATTCTGCCCCTGGCTTTCTGGGCTCCAGCTTCTGTAGAAGCTTTTGTTGACACTGCCAAGAAGGGAATGGAAAAGGTCCCAACAAGAAATAAACCAGGAAGCTTGGGAGTGGAGCCAGGAGCGTCCAGGCTCGGGAGCCACACCGTGGCAGGACATGTGCTGAACTTTAGTTTATTCTCATCCCTGAGTAAGGATTAAAGTTACCGGCTTGCCCTCCTCACAGGTAAATAGTAGAGAAACCTTGTGCAAGTGCTCTCTGAGTATGCCAGTATGGGAAGCCATGTGCTAAAGTGTTACATACTTACTGTCACAGCCACAGAAAGTTCTGGCAGAGTAAACACAGGCATAAAGAGGAGAGGCAAAGGAACCAGGATGCTAAGTCAAAGGAAGGTAAAGCTAGAGAACTAGGCTGAGGGGCTGCACCTCCAAATCAACAAACAAGGCAATTCTGAGGGACAGAGATCTTGTCCTGACTGGCTTCCGAGGATGGAGAACAGCACACATGTGTGAGCCAAGGCTGACGCTCCAATCCCCCGAGCCGTCAGCAACTTCTTTACCAAGTCTTGGCACTGCCTCATGTCCACCAGGTTCTTCGCCTGCAAAAAACTTTGGAGATGTAGTCAATCCCTGGGTCCATCAAAGTACTCTGAACTAATGACACCATAGAGTTATCCTCTGACCTCTACATGCTCGGCATAGCATATAGGTCAAACACACAGACACACATACACGCACACACACACACACACGCACACACACGGCATACAGGCACACACAAAAGAGCTAGAGAGAGGGGGAGACAGAGACTGAGAAAAAGAGAGAGAAAAGGTGAATAAGCAAGGCAAGATGTAAATCAATAATTTGCAATGCTTGGCAAGGTCCTAGGCGCTCAGAGCCAGACCATCTGTCTAAAATAGGCTCAGTTTGTACACATCATACATACCTAGATAGAGCTGAAACGGAACGGCTCTGCTAAGCCCATGCTAGGAGTAGAAACATGGCTGGAAAGCCTGACCAGATGCTAACCTTTCATGGCAGGAGGGGTGTCACTCCTGGAAAATGGACGTGGCAGAGCTGGAAAGAGAAGAAAGGATAGACCTGAAGGCAGTGGATTCTGCTGGGAAATCTTGCGTCTAGGAAGCATCAGTGCAGGGCACAGTGGAGACATCCCAGTGATGAGCTGCTGGCTGAGTGCAGACAAAGTCAAGTGTATGGAGGAGAGGGGAAGCTGAAAGGGCAAAGGAAGCCTCTGTTCATGGGTGTGACAGTTTTCATTGCTGGGAGAGGTGGTGTCCACTGGAAGCAATGTGTGCTGCTTAATGTGAACTGTCAAGTGTGGGGCTAAGAGTGATGACCTGGGAGAGAGTCTTCACTGAGGAATCTTCTAGAAGTTCCTCTGTGAACATGTCCATAGAGGAGCGATTTGATTACCTAAACGGATACTGGAAAACCCATCTGTTTAGGGCAGTGCCATTCCCTAGGCTTGGATCCCAGACTGCATAACAGGGAGCTCATAGAGCACGAGCAAGCAAGCTTGCGTGTGTGCCTTTCTCTCCCTCCGTGACTGTGGATGTGATAGGTGCAGTCGCTTTGCATTTATCCCTTGACTTAGCTGTCATGATGGACTATAAAATGGAAGTGTAAGCGAAATCACAATGACAATGCCACGGGAACAGTGTGTTCAACATAATCACACTGACCCTAGGACAAGCCTTGAACGGCGGGGCAGATGTCTGGTCATTCTCTTAGTCACATGATACTATCAAGCTCTGGCTCCCAACACATGGCCTGGGGGACCTGGAGCACACTTCCTCACTCCCTCTGATCCTTTGATCTCCAAGCATAATCTCAGAATCTCCCTCACGGAGTTCTGCCAAGGACCAGAGGGACCTGTCAGCGCATGCCATGTGTCCCATGACAGCAAAGAGGAGCTGTCAGAGACCCTGAGCATCCCTCCACTAAGGACCTTCCACGGATTACCAATTACACTGAGAGGCAAGCCTGCGAGACCCTTGAGCTCTCATGCCACCATTTCTCTGAGAGAACATTAGTCGGCAGCAATCCTGGCTGAAGCATGGGTGAAGAGCAAGGAAAGAAGCCACCCTGTCTGGCTCCCCAGACTTCTCACATTTAAGGAACAAGTAGACCTGAGAAGTCAGGACTTCTGCCCAGATGGCCCTGCCCAGGCCCCGTCTTCAGACGAATTCTGGGTGTAGGTGTTGAGATAAACATCACTCTTGACAGTGGAAGGCCAGGGAAGGGAGAGGCCCACACCCCTGCTTACCACTGACCTCCACACTTCACATGATGATACAGATGAGGCTGTTTGACTTTAATGCTGGTGACCCTTTGTCCTGCAGACAGAAACCCATGGCCCGCCAGGTGTCCACAAGCAGCAGCACCTTGTGGGAAAGCACCAGCAGCTACAAGGGGAGCAAAAAGATGGAAAACCATGGGGTGAGCAGGACGGCGAGTCCCAGGTCCTTTGACCATGAGCCAGCCCATACCCTCCTGAGGACCTGACACTAGACTCCTGGGAGGAGATGCATGAACAGACGAAAGGATGAATCACACACCAAGAGAGCCACAGAGGACAATGTGCCCAGCAGAAGAAACAGTAGAGGGTTGCTCAGACGGCAGAACATCACAGGCCGTTCCCATGTTCCTGGCTAAGCAAGGCCCGCCCTAGACCCAGTCAGTGGCCATTCAGAAAAGACGAAGTAACAGAAGGTGGAAGCACAGAAAGCTGTGTCTTTCTCAGCTGATGAAGGATCAGGAGGTTTCAGGCGGTGAGAGAAGCAGAGCTGTTTATACCCAGGGGCCCTGCCTTCTGCTGGTCTCGGCATCAAGCACACCTAGGTACGCAATGCACTCCTTTGAGTGGGTTCCCTGGGTGACTGCACTAAGCACCCTTTATAGAAAATGAGGCTGGAACCCAGAAGTTAAGCAGAGTGATAAGCACCTTAACGAAATGGGGGTAGCTCTGCAAACCGACCAATGAGTGGGAGAGTGTTCAGGAGGAGGGGTTCTTACCCCAGGACATCCAAAGAATGAAGAGGAATAGGCCCTCAAGAAGGGACTGACAGGTCTCTGCATGAGAAATGCTAAACAGGGATCCTCCAAACTCCATCAGCACCTCAGGGGTCTACTAATTCCTAGCACTACTGATTATACTGAGTGACACAGAGGGTACCTTTCAAGGGGGCTGAGAGCAAAGCAAGGTGGGAATGCCTCATGGGACCTCCCTGTCTTTCTCACCTGGTCTTTCCTTTGGGTCTACACACTGTCCACTCTGAGATAAAAAGCTCCTGGTTTGAGGTTTGGAAGCTTATGTTTCCATATACTTGACCTAGATTATTAGCAGCAGCAGCAACAACAGTAGCAGCAGCACCAGCAGCAGCAGCAGCAGCAGCAGCACCAGCAGCACCAGCAGCACCAGCAGCAACAACAACTACAGCTGGAAATCAGAGAGTTCCAGAGCATGGGTCCCCACTGACACAGCAGGGCCCAGACTTTCCGGTCAGACTCTCCACAGCAGCATACTCTCACACAAACAGGGATGCACCTCAGTGCACAATGTTTTGATTGTGGCTTCAGCTGGGTTGTCCCAATCAGGGAAGCCTCATGACTCCTCTTGTTGAAGGTCAGATTATAGCTGGAGACCCCTACAAAGAAGACAGTGACAGTAGGTCAGAGCAAAAAGGATGGTGTGTTCATCAAACAGCCCCCATCCTGTGTCTTATTTTGGGAGTACAATGAAAAATCATGGAGAGGGACAGGGTTTCCACAAAGTGACGGAGTGTCTGGGTGGGACATGAAGCAGCATCGAGTGCTGAGGGACCGCCCAGGTTTCGGGGCTTCCTAGTGGCAGTTTGTACTGGAATCACCACTGCTCTGAAACTCCTACATACACATCGAAGAATGGTGGACCCCAGAGGAACATGACCTTGTCATTCTGGGATCCTACCATTGCCGCCCTCTTGGCTGGCTTCTCGCTCACACTTTCCCAGTGTCCTGTCCCCTCATCTGCTTTTCCCTTTCAACAGCACAACAGGATGGACAAAACAGGCCTTTGGTACTGAGAACAACGCCAGGGCCTGAGAGCCAAGACAAATGAAATACCATTTCACAAAAAGTTAAATTACAAATTGCCTTTATGTGTCCACAGACACTACACTATCACAGAGACACATCAGGTCCAGTCATTCAGGCTGGCAGCCTGTCACGTGGCTGCTGACATTTCCTCTGTCACTTCCTCCCAAGGTAACCCAGCAGTGATCTCAACACAGACACAATGTCTTCCAACTCCCTTACTACCTTGGACCTTCTCAGGGTCATTACCATTTTTGGCTGTTCTTACCACATCAGCTTGAAGGGCAGAATGTCCTTGTCAACAGGATAGTCTAATGGCGTGATGGATCCTTCAGTAGACGACAACACTGGAGCTCAGACTAAAGGGACCTGTGTACTCCCAACACTGTTCAAGTGCCTGGTGCCCTCACACAGGGCTCAAGATTCCTCTCAGTAGCCCCCCTTTGCCTTGGGCTCCCCTCTAGACAGCATGCCCTCTTTGTCCTCTCTGGCACTCCTCCTTTGTCTTCTGGCTCTAATGAGGACACTTCAAGCCCTAGTCTCCAGGCCCTGTCCACAGCACTGCACCTTCTCCCGCAATCAACTCCCTAGATCTTCTTGGTGGAGGGGTTGTTCAAGGAGCCTCAGACCTCCTTGTCCACCTCTGCCCTTGAGCGCTGGAAGCTCAACTAGATGGACCGGAGTTGGTCACAGTTGTGTGCGCTCTTCTCTCCTTCCTGTTGCAGAGTGCACAGAACACTAAACTAGGAGCCAGTCGTGGGCAGGCTGAGAATTGTCAGGCACTGAAGTGCTCAACGTTTCTGTAAAGACAAAGGCAGCGAGGAGG